TGGCAGTGATTGTGTCAGCGGACCTTCTTCGGCTGAATTCTGCGTCTTTTGAGGCATTTTACGAACGTGTTTTGGGCGTGCTGATGCGAGATGGAGAAAAGGTAGGTGTTCCCTCAGCTCATGGCAGGAACGAGTAAACGGAGTGGTATGGTACATTGTTGGAGTGCTCCTTAGCCTACACTTTTTCCCGGAAGACATTGCTTGTGTCAGTGTGATGATACTTTCGTGGTGTGACCCAAGTGCATCGACCCTTGGCCGACTGTATGGTCGTTACACACCATCGATGCCTCCTCCGCTATTTGCGCCGCGCAAATCCTTTGCTGGGTTTGTCGCTGCGTCGGTGATGGGCGCGTTGACTACCTACTTATTTTGGGGTACATCTATCGCGATCCGTGGCGAGCGTGCTTCTGGCTTGTCATGGACACAAAATGGCGCCGCAACCTTTGGAACGAAGCTTGCGCCAGGATTCCTGCACTCGGGATGGACTGGGTTTGCAACTGGATTCCAATCCCAGACCAACACGACATTATGGGAAAAGACTCAGGCGGTGAGTGAAGGCCGAGCAGCAATGCCTGCGTGGCTACTATATGCTGCAAGTGGCTTGATTGCCGGGGTCACTGAGTCATTAGATCTCGGCGGTTGCGACGATAACTTATTCATTCCCTTGCTTAGTGGATTAGGGTTGTGGATGACGTTCTGGGTATGGGGATTGCTGTGTGCGTAATAAGAAAAAATCCCATACTCTAGTTGTTCTGTAGGCCATATTCTGTTAGATCCAGCGTGGATTGTCGCGTTCCTTCATGCAGGACCTATTATCTAGTTTAGGCTACAGACAGTGAGGATCAACGATCTTGATTTCGACTACTGTGGTGGTTACGATCACGATCACGATCTCGTCCGCGTCCATGTACACGCTGATATAGCATGGAGTGGAATTGCCGTGTTTGATATACCTGGCGCCAAACATACACCGACAGCGCTCCTAGCAGTAGAAACGCGTTCCAAAACTGCGTTTAGCAACAGTACGTACCACAAAATGACCGTACTCACGTACTTCTGCGCCGATAAACTTTCCACACGCACTCCAACCGGTGATAGCCGGCGCGTTCAATGACTCTCGGCACTCGATCGCTTGTCGATTATTATACGGTCGGCAGTATGGATATGCCAGCTAAGGTCAATTTCGCTTTCCCAACACATACGTGATCCGATGGACATGGTGTACAATCGCTCACGGATATACACGTATATACACTTCCCGCCGACGTACTCGAAGGCATCGCTATTGGCGTGAATGCTCCATCCTCCGAACTACCTTTCATGCAGCGAAGGTGGAGGCGAAGTACCTTGGCTTGGAAAGTGAGATTTCGATGCGGGGAAATGGCAAGATCCGGTAAAAATACGGCAAGTAGGGATTCTATGATGGTCAAGCTACTATGATGCCTGCTGGGCTCGCCATGCATGCGCACGTTCCAACAGTTTGAGCGCTGGTTTGTTTTGCGCTTCTTCTTCTGGGAAGATCATCTCATAGTACTGGTGTGAGTCTAAGTTCAAAGCGCGTACCTCTTCTGAAGCGCCATCGCTATCTGGTATTTCTCTGCGTTTCTTTTGAATCCGTGGCATCTTTGCATCGACCGCAGACTCGTGGGACTCGTCGCCATGCTCCACCTCGAAAGCTTTCCAAGCCTCCAAAAGCACAACACGTTCCTCTTTCAGTCCTTGGTCTCTTAAGCTATCGTATGCTCTCGAAAATATGGCTCGTGTGTTTTCAGCGGCTTGTGCACGTTGCTGTTGTCGAGCAGAAAGGTCTTGTTCACTTAGTGAATAGTGTGCACCCTGTGCTTCGGCTTGCTCCGTGGCGTCGGCATCTTGATCCTCTTCTATAGCGATTGCCGCGGCCATCTGCCCTAATGCATAGCTGATCCATACTTTTACGTGGCTAGCCTTTTCCAAAAGACGCTCGTACAATGCATTGACTCTTTCCCATTCACGCTCATTGAACTCGAAATCAATGTAGGCCTTCCATATGATTTCCGGCATATCCAATCCTCCGGACTCGGACTCGGCATGCTGAATGGCCAGCTCGTAGATCCCGCGCGCACGCTCAAGATCGTAAAGATTCTGCTCAAGTTCTGCAAATCGAACCCAAGTACTAGAGCTGCTTGGATCCCATTCCAATGCCTTTTCGTAGAGTTTGCGTACGCGATCGAATTCCTTCAGATCCATCTCCAGCTGGATATACCCCTTGAACAGTTTATGTTTGGGAGCCAAGCCAATCGCGGTTCCGAGGAGCTTACGGGCAACTTGCAGTTGCATACGACGTACCTCAAAGTAGGCATACGCCAGCCATAACTTTGCAAAAGTGAAGTCGCGATGGGGCACTGCAGCTACAGCAGCAGCATAGATCTGTTTCGCGCGGTCCAGATCACGGGTATCGATCTCTTCAAAAAGCGCATAACGCAGATAGAGATAAATGTAACGGCGCCATAGCCTTTTCTCTTTCGCTGGAGGGGTCTGAGCAATGGCCCGTTGATAAACTTCGCGGACTTTCTCACAGGAGGCATGCAGTAGAGAAGCAGGCGCGCCTTCTTGCTGCAAATTTCGATAGGAATCTTCTTCAAGACGTGTATAGTCAAACCATGTATCATAATCCGTTGCTGGTCCTGAGGCTTCAATCTCTTCTTCGTATTGCAGGCGTCGTTTCTGGGTAACGGTATCTTCGACGCCATGGATATTGCCAAACTGTTTCTCGAAGCGTGTGTAACTGGCATAGATCCCTTCACTCTTAGCACGCGGCAATCTCTGCAATGCATACTTGTAAATCGTCCTTGCACGATCATACTCAACCTGACGAGTTTCCATCTTGGCAAATGCTGTGAACACGGTCTGTGCTCGTTCCAGAGCCGCCTCATCTTCGCCAAAGAAATCCAATGCCATATGAAATACATTGCGTGCTTTTTCCAGCTGATCGCGCTCTTCTTCGAATTTGGCCCAGCGAATCCATAACTTGGGCTCTGGATGACATGTCACGGCACGTTCCCAGACACTACTAGCCCTGTCTAGTTCTTTATAACGGACTTCGAATGCAATGTATGCATTCCATGCACGTTCGTCAGGCTCCCAAGACATCCAACGCTCGAAGATCTCGCGAGTGCCGCTGATATTTCCAAGCAATTCTTCGACATGAACATATTTGTACCACAATTGGTCAATTCGAGGCAAGATCGTTACTGCACGGTCAAATAAGTTGCGTGCATGATTGATATTGCGCATTTTCAGTTCTTGCTCTGTATACCGGAGCCATAATGGAATATGATGAGGATTCACATCTAGTGCGCGCTCAAACACTGAGCGACAACGATCCATTAATCCCTGATTCGCTTCCCACGTAGCGTAACGAATCCAAGCCACCATCTACAATGAGCAAACAATACATACATTCCCACGTAACCTTCGGACTGCATCTTCATATTCTGTACGCTTTCGAGCGCGATACTCTTCTAATTGCTCGTAATCCTCAATACGATGCCGAGTGCTTTTGATTTTTGGGCGTTCCTGGTTCTCTTGTGCTTCGCGCAAAAGCTGCTCAGCAGTGATTTGGACTGGCGCTGGCGCGCGATTTTTGATCTTGGGCGCATGCGCTTCAGCTGACATGCTTCCCAACTTAGCCAGCTTTCGCTCTGCTCGACTTTCTCGTGACCTCCACGACCACGACGTAGACGGCGACGAGGTATCACGTGCGAATCCAGGCACGTAAGCGGTGGCTAAAGAAGCGTGGCATGAGTCCAATCCGAATCGGCCGAGGGAAATTCGGTGGGAAAGGCTTGGCATGCGTGTCTGATAGGTGAGTCGATCGCCGACTTGCAGGATCTTGGAACCTTTTGGCTTGGCTTACTACTAAAGCTTGTGAGGCAGTTCTGTAGGAAGGTGTGATTCCCGCCTTAGTTCTCATGACGGAGCGGGAGCCGAGTGATGTACCACATCCACCTGTGAAGCTAGCATGTGCGACCTGTATTCAGGGACACCGTGCGTCCACGTGCAAGCACCAGGATGGTTCCAAAGGCCCTTTGCTTGTGGTGAAGCGCCGTGGGCGTCCTTTATCGCAATGCCAAATCTGTCGTGAAAAACGGGTGAAGACAGGCAGGCATACACGATGTATGTGCGATACAAAGCCCCGAGGCCAGCGGACGAGGCCGGTGCCTATCCGTGAGGACCCAGCGCCATCTAGTCATTCACCATTGTCATTTGCCCATTTACTGAACCCATGCCGCTGCAAAACTACAGGGATTTGCACTTGCTGCGAAACCAATACATTTTCGACGTGTGCGAAGGATGAATGTAGCGAGCAATGCACTTCGTGTGGACCTGATGCATGCGATTCAGACAGGTCGGTGGCGATGTCGACATGCGATTCAGACCGATTTCACGCGAAGGAAGTCACTCCATCACCCTCTCTCACAAACACCAGTGGCCACTGCAAATCCCCCAAAGAAACTAATGACTCTTTATCGAACAAAGTGCGATGCGACTCTCCGAAACGAAAGCAGCGCAAATTGGACTCTATGGAAATTACACAGCAAGTTACTGATATGACACAACCTTTCACTCCCCCCTGCACATGTGGAGACTCATGCCGGTGCACCAGCTGTGTCTCGCATAGCGGGGGACCGGCTGGGCTTGGTGCGAGTCTCACTGAGCGAACGTCGGAACGACCATCGCATTGTATGACATGCGTCGCATGTGATATCGATCTACGGAGCGTGTCTGGAATCCCCGCCGTGGACAGCTTTGTTATGCGCGACCCCCTCCCTCACCCGCCTCTCACCTAGTATGATTTCCTAATTCCAAGTTCCGTTCTCACGAGATGTATAGAAACTAGTAATATTGCTCCCTTATTGGAAATGAAGTTTTGCCAAGAATTCCTGACTTACCCTTTCGATCCGGTATCCAATTTCATGCACGCCGAGAAAACCGAGTGAAACTCCGATTGGAGCAAAAATGGGCCCAACCGGGAATTGAACCCGGGACCTCTCCCAGACTCAGGGCTCCCCTGAGGGTTTCAGTATTTTCCCGAAGGGAGTATAATACGACTATACTATTAGGCCGTTCTCCTAGCCAGGCGCGGTCCATAGGCATATACATTTTGTCATGACCGTCATGCTCACCGGTCCAATCCAACGCAATTCCCACAGCAAACAATACGGGACAAGATTGCTTTGCGATGAAGAAGTATACTATATACGACTCACTAATTACCATAGAGCGCGGCGTTCCTGACGCTGCTCCCTTGCAATACGTTTATCAAGTCCCCAAGTGGCTTGCTTCAGTTTGGTTTCTGCTTGACGCGCTTCGCGCACTTGTTTCGGTGCAGGTGCAACGATGCTCACAAACGTCGGTGAGCAACCAAACTTCTTAGCGAGCACACCAGCGGTGTTGCGATAGGGATCTTGCGCGCGCAATGATTGGATTTCCCTGATTTGCTCTTCTGACAGAATCGCATGAGCATCACGAGCTTGACGATGATGCATACGCAATTTCGGCGGGAGAGTTGCTTGCTGTGTCTCGTCAATGCTCTGTGCGCTATCGAATAACTTTTCAGCACTTTGCAGGGAAGTACGGTGACTCTCTTGCGAGGCAGGTGTACGTTTCAAAAAAGTCTCTCCAGAGGCCAGAGGGAATCGCGTAACCTTTGCGCCATCCAAAGGGTCCCGAGGTCGGCGCGCAGGAGTGTTCCGCTGTGCAGAGCAGCTCGTACTAAACATACGAGATCGGTTCAAGGCATGCGTGCTGTAGGAGCGCGTGCCGAAACTGAATCCACTGCGTCCATTCCATGTCCCTTTGAGCATGCTGTTGTAGTACACCCATGGGAAGAAGTTTTTCTTCAAATAATAGAACGCACGTTGCGGTTTGCTTTGATCCAAACCAAATTTGGTGAAAGTCTCGTCAGGTTTCAGTCCGTACTTGAATTCGGCCAACAACACTTTGCCATACTCCGTCAGCAGAGGACACGAGGTGTATCCATTATACTCTGCATCCGGCTGCTTGCCATTGAGTACTTGAAGCAAGTTGTGTGTCAAAATCGGGGCTTGTCCAGTGATGGCTGCAGCTGTCTTGCTGGTAGGCAAAGAACTTGCATCGCCTAAGGACCAGACGTTTTTGTATTTCACCTGCTGTAAAGTTGCCGGATCCACCTCGATGTAGCCAGCCTCATTGGACAATGGCGAGTTCTTAATGAACTCGGGGGGTGCCATACGTGGAGTAACGTGCAAAAAGTCGAATGGGATCTTGACGTTGTCGCCTTCAGGTACAGAGAACACAGCAGTGTTTCCTTGGTCTTCAATCGCAATCAAATCATGCTTGAACAGACCACCGACACCGCGTTCTTCACGTAACTGATTCAGGACTTCGCTGTACTTTGGCACACTAAACATCGTTGGCATACCAGTCGCAAAGTCGATCTGAATCGGAGAGTTGGGATCATGGGGCTTGAATAAGTTATTTTGCTTCCATGCATCCAATGCCAACCACATGATTTTTTGCGGGGCACCAGCACACTTGATCGGTGAGCCGGGCTGAGTGAAGATTGCACGGCCGCTACGTAGTTCCTTAATCTTTGCATACACTTTATCGGCCGTGTTGTAAGTGTAAATGGAAGAAACTTTGGAGTTGGGGTTTTCCAAAGCCTCTGGCAATCCGGGAATGGCGTCGAGTTTGATCTGATAGCCAGGCGCCACAATCAACTGGTCGTAAGTGAATTTTTCGCCAGATTCCGTCGAGACCTGATTGGCATCCGGCGAGAAGCTAGAGACGCGCTGTTGGTACAGCTTGATTTTCGGATCGACTAACGAGGCTTCTTCGCGGCGCAGATCCTCACGACGTGCCAAACCACCGCCTACGAGCGACCAGCCCGGCTGATAGTCGTGCCAACGACTGGGATCCACGACCGCGATGTCGTTTGGCTGGAATTGTCCAGAACGCAACAATTCATGCGAAACTGTCAATCCTGCCGTTCCACCACCGACGACAACGACTTTGTGTGCGGCATCTTGCACACTGTTCGATGTGGAAAACAGGCGTGCAGACACGTTCACTTTGCTTGCCACTTGTCTTGCAGCGAGAGAGATCATCGTACGAAAGCAGAGTAGGTAGGTGTGTTGCACGTGGCAATGGCGCCATCCCTCGAGTTTTCGATGAGCTCGAAGGTGGATAATGCACGTGGTTAGGAAATGCGCTGATTTGAACGTGAGAGAATTTGGTTGCCTTTAATAGGGATGAGGGGAATTAGCCTATCTATTTTACAGAAAAAGGATGGGTTTGGATAAGGAGAAGCTCAGGTTGGATTTCTGGTGGATCCAATTTACATCGAGTCGTGTCCGCGCGGTTCATAAGGAAGGAACAACATTAAAACGGCGGATAACAAGAAAAAGGACGCTGATATGTAGATCGGCGCATTAAATTCTTCACTTTTGTACACGGCAATTAGAGTCGCTACCACACCAAACACACGTTGTGTACTCATAGATAGTCCGTCGCCAGTGCCGCGTTGCGGCGCCGGGAACACTTCGTAGGTAATTGCATACAAGATACCATACATTGCATTCTGTACCAAGCTAGCCGCACAATTCCAGCCAAGGACTGCACTGCTTGATTTTGCGGTGGTGAATAAGAACAAGAATACACCCGTAAGTGCCGTGAAAAATGCCATACTCCAACGACGGCCAGCATAAGGGATTTCGACCATAGCAGCAGCAAACAAGCTTCCAGGAATCCCGCATACAGCAATAATGACAAGCTGTCGATATTGTTCAGAAAGTGTATCGGCCCCGTCGTTTATGCCAGCATGCTGAAGATAGATGGCAATGAACGAATTGTACAATGGATAAGAAAGACCTATTGCGCCCCAGCACGCGCAGATCAAGATGGTATTCAGCGCCATCTTGGGCGATGCAAACAACGCAGAGAGCGGAGACCGATGCATGGTGCGGTAGGTTTCGATAATTCGCCGGGGACGCAACGCCTCACTCCAGTCCATTGTCGCGGTGAATTTGTTGGTTTTTGGTTTGGGATCGCGCACTCGTAAGGAAGCTTCAACGGGTGCTTTGTCTTGTGCTTTGTCGCTGATGGCGCTTGCGTGAGTGTCTTCAGGGCGATCGACATCGATCGTGTGTCCCAAACCAGCCAAACGAAGTTTCTCGAGCGTAAGCGTTGTGGATTTGTGGTTTTCCTTTGCGATAAATTGAATCACCTCGAACGCCTCCTCGACACGATTTGTTGCTAAGAGGAACTTGGGCGACTCAGGCACAGGGTACACGAAGAACCGGATAATCCACATCAACAACACTACGCCGCCAAGCAAAAACCATGAGTAGCGCCAGCCAGCATTGTTTTTCCAAGTACAGGTCTCCGCCGAGTCACAGTGAATGTTGGTGATCAAAGCCCAACCGATGACTGCGGCAAAAAGTTGTCCTAGACACCAAAACAGAGATAGGAATGTCAAGATCCATTGATATGGCCCTGGAATGTACTCAATCAGCATGGCTCCGTCCACAGGCAGGTTCCCACCTAGTCCTAATCCCATACAAGCAAGCAGAATGCACATTGCCGGAAAGTTTGGTGCCGCGCCGACTGCTACACCGAAAGCTGCCGAGATAAACAGAGAAATGTTCCAGGAAGGACGACGCCCAATGATATCTGAGCATAATCCCCAGAAGGTCGAACCAACTAACAGACCAGCATACAAAGAAAAGGTAGCGAATGCGACGTGCGAAGGTTGGAATTCCAATTTAGCCTGGGGCAATGTCATGGACAAGATCTCGAACCATATATTATCCGCTAACCAGCCAAATCCAGCGAGAAACGTCAGCTTGATTTGAAATGCACCGAACCCGATTTCCTCATTCAACGTCTTGTTCACAAGAAGCACCTGACGTTCATACTGCGTCGAAACACCTAATTCGCGTGCCACTAGCGTATGTGAATCTACAGACTCTTCATCACCAATACAACGGCCACCTTCTTCCACCTCTGGCGTCGGACTCGTGCCTTCTTCCGCCAGTACTACGCGCGACATATTTGCGGAGTAAGTTCCTCCAACTTGCGCAAGAAAAAGCCCAGCCAATTTGCTCAGCGCACGCATCACGTGAGACAATGGCCACCGCACGGCAATGGCGTAGGTGGGGTAGTGCATTGAGCAAGGGTGGAAGCCAGCGATATGCTTCGAATTATGTTCCACGCACCGCTGCGGCATCCGCAGGAGGTGCAAATCAATCGAACTTTAAGCCATCTGCCGCGCAACCAAGAAGTGCTGCGCAAGATGCTTCATTTACACCGGCGGCCAAGCCAACGACAGAATCTTCCTCTGTCTCGGCAAGTTCCGCAGCTCCTTCGTCGGAAGCATCCGAGATTCAACGAGCTGCTTCAGAAATTGACTGGAGTCAGGGGTATGAAGGGATTGGGCATCGTCCGTTTAATGCCGAAGCATCACGAATCTTGAGCCAAGCGCTGGACAAGGACGATATCGAAATCAAACCTGATGGCCTACTATATCTGCCGGAAATCAAGTACCGAAGAATCCTGAATCGTGCTTTTGGACCCGGAGGTTGGGGAATGGTCCCTCGTGGGGACCTGGAGATTGGTCAAGGGATCGTCGCACGCGATTGGGCGCTCGTATGTCTTGGGCGCTTTGTGTCTACGGCGCGTGGCGAGCAAGAATTTTTCCGGCCCAGCGGCGTTTCAACCGCGACAGAGGGAGCAAAATCCAATGCATTAATGCGCTGTTGCAAGGATCTCGGCGTAGCTTCCGAGTTATGGGATCCTCGTTTCATTCGACAATTCAAAGCGAAGCATTGTGTAGAGGTGTGGGCATCGGGATCCGATGGTAAGAAACGCAAACTATGGCGGCGAAAAGATGATGGTCCATTAGAATATCCATACAAAGAGACTGGTCTTGTTAGATAGAGAATCCTTATCTACGTCGTTTGCCTACGCCACGCTTTGCTTTGCTACGATAGGTGCCAGCTTGAATCACATCGTCATCACGGTCGCGATCATCTTCGGCTTGGTTGGATTGTAGACGTCGTTTACGTTTCCCAGCACCACCTGCACC